GCCATACAAGGGAAAACTCTATGGTTTTCCCTTGTATGGTCGTGGCCCCGCCCCCAGCGTGCCCGGCGTCATGACGTCACTTTGCTGTGACGTGCATGCGGCGCGCGCACCGGGAGCCGCGCTGGAGTCCCCCGCCGGCAAGGTAGGTAACATTTGGCAACCCTACTCCTGTAGAAACAATGCCCTCCTACTTTTATACACACAATGCCATATTTATCTGGGAAAATGATGGCCACACCAGAGAGCCGAGAGGAGGAAGGAGGCCAAGATGCAGAACAGAAAATTTAACTCTTGTGGATCCCCACACGTTTCACTGTAGGCTTCATCAGGGGATCTTCTTCAGACGTTTTCCCAGTTCCCACCTTGGACAGTATGATAAGAGTTAAATAAATGTCCTGTTCTGCACCTTGCTCTCCTTCATCCTCTCTGCTCCCAGATTTCACTGGCCATCTGTGATAGGGAATGTATTCTTTAGATCAGGCTTCTCTCTCTCTCCTTTTGAACACAACTTGAATGTGAACGGAATCCATGTGAATAAACGGAATAAAGTTTGAGTCCTGTGGCACCTTTAAGACCAACGAAGTTTAATCCTGGGTAGATAAGCTTTCGTGTGCATGGAGTGTGCATGCACACAAAAGTTCACACCCTGACTAAAATTTTGTTGGTCTTAAAAAAGAAGAAGAAGAGACTGGATTTATACCCCGCCCTTCACTACCCAAAGGAGCGGCTTACAAACTCCTTTCCCTTCCCCTCCCCACCACAGACACCCTGTGAGGTAGGTGAGGCTGAGAGAGCTCTGACAGAAACTGCTCTTTTTCAAGGACAGCTGTGCCAGACCAGGGCTCTTTTTGTAGAAAAAGCCCAGCAGGAACTCATTAGCAAAATAGGCCACACCCAACAGCAGAAAATCATTAGCATATTAGGCCACACCCCTGATAGCACACCTCATTAGCCCATTAGGCCGCACCCCCATGTTACCAGAAGTGTGCTCATCCAGCCACACCCACCTTTTCCTTGTTATTCTGTTTACCTTGCTTGTTGTCCAAACCCAGGGCTTTTTTGTAGCAGGAACTCCTTTGCATGTTAGGCCACACACCCCTAATGTAGCCAATCCTAATGAGTTTCTGCTGTTGGGTGTGGCCTATTATGCTAATGAGTTCCTGCTGGGCGTGGCCAACTTGGGAGCCAGTCGGAACTCCGTTCCTGTGCGTTCCTGCCCAAAAATAGCCCTTGCCAGAACTATGGCTCGCCCAAGGTCATCCAGCAGCTGTGAGTGGAGGAGTGGGGAATCAGACCCGGTTCTCCCAGATTAGAGTCCGCGCACTTAACCACTACACCAAACTGGCTCTCAAAGGTGCCACTGGACTCAAAACTCTGTTCTGCAGCTTCAGACCAACAGGGCTATCCACCTGAATCTATGCGAATAAATGTAAGTTTTTACCTTTTGTGATACACCTCTTGGGAGATTTATTTACTGCACTCAAGATCATGTTTCTATGGGCGTCTGGAGATCAATTGTAATAGCAGGAGATCTCCAGCTACCACCTGGAGGTTGGCACCCCTAACTCAACTATGGGACAAGTCTATATTAGACTCGGGCATCAGACGTAACGGAATTATGTCTTTTGCTATTCTGGAGCCCCATATACTGCAAAGCTGAATTTAGATTTCAATACATCCTACAATGAACGTAGACTGCTTAGGACCTGTGCACGCATGCATACATATTTTGCCATGTTGAAAATGGGTAAGAAAACTGCCGTCTGGTCCAGTTGATTGATCCAGCATAAGTATTTGTCTCTCTGCCCGTTTTTTCCCCATATAAAAGATCCGCCTCTGATTTTTAAATCTGGATTGAACTACAATCCCTGATTTTTTATATCTGGATCGAACCACGCTATATGTTGTGACTAGGAGACGGAACTGCAGTCCGGGAAGTGCCTCATTTAAATCTCACCTCACCCACAAGTTAACTAATAGAAGGAGGAGGAGGAAGAGGAGGAGACTGGATTTATACCCCCCCACACCACTACCGGAAGGAGTCTCAGAGTGGCTTACAAACCCCTTTCCCTTCCCCTCCCCACAACAGACACCCTGTGAGGTGGGTGGGGCTGAGAGAACTCTGACACAAACTGCTCTTGAGAGAACAGCTCTGAGAGAACTTGTGACTGACCCAAGGTCACACCAGCAGCTGCATACGGAGGAGTGGGGAATCAAACCCGGTTCTCCCAGCTTACGGTCCGCGCTCTTAACCACTACACCAGACTGGTTTTCAGCGATGGCCGCAGGCAAGTCAGCTTGAGTCCCTATCTGCACTGCCAAAATAAGGAAACTGGCCTGCACTACAAGGATGTTGTATGTGTTACTTGTAAAGCACACTGGGGGGGGGGGAATGAAAGCAACTTATGTGTATCCACGATTCCTCTATCTATTTCCTACCGCCAAGTGCTGAACTTGATCGTCCAGATTTCCACTCTCTTGACTGAACTGATCCCTTTCGCTCTGGGCCTCGGACATCTCGGAATGAGCCAGAAGCAGCTGCTTTTCCAGATCTTCAATCTAAGGTATCGATAAACACACACATTGGGGGGAAAGTTGAGCTTACGGCAGCCTCTTATTGGGAAGAGCAGGGCTCCGTGAGCTCTACGGCACGGTTTCTAAAGCAACACAAAAAACGTTAACAAAATGAACAAAACGAGTCTGAAATGTCAGTGTTAGTTTATTGATACATGATTATTTACTCTGATCTCATATGTTTATGACAGTTTATTGTCACTGTAAAGGTAAAGGTAAAGGTCCCCTTGCTCGAAAGCCAGTCGAGTCCGACTCTAGGGTTGCGGTGCTCATCTCCGTTTCAAAGCCGAAGAGCCAGCGCTGTCCGAAGACGTTTCCGTGGTCATGTGGCCGGCATGACTAAACACCAAGGCGCACGGAACGCTGTTACCTTCCCACCGAAGTGGTACCTATTTATCTACTTGCAATTTCTTGCTTTCGAACTGCTAGGTTGGCAGGAGCTGGAACTAGAGACGGGAGCTCACTCCGTCATGCGGCACACTCGGGTCTCGAACTGCTGAACTGCCGACCTTCCACAGCCTGCAGTTCAGCGTCTTAACCACTTGAGCCACCGCAGCTCCTATACTGTCACTGTATCTGACGTTAAATTTTCAATAAAAACCTTTAAAAAAATGAAATGTCAAGCTGGCTGGCTTGTATTGGGGGGGGGGCGGAAATCACTGCTCTGGGTATATCTCTGGACTCATTGACTATGCTTCATTAATGGGTGCCTATCAAATGATTAAATGCAGAATTCTGGATACTGAACTCCAAAACCTATATCAGGGGTGGGCAAACTGTGGCTCAGGAGCCGCACGTGGCTCTTTCAGACATTTCCTGCGGGAGCGCACAGGAGCGGAGCTCCGGCAGTAAAGAGCCCAGGGGGCGGGCACATGCAACAAGCCGCGAATTCTAGAGCTGTGCTGTGCCCCCCCCCCCCCGCAATAGCTAGCAATCCAAAACAGTCCACTGGAGCCTGAGCGGTGGGCGTTGCGTTGCCTTCTGACACACCTCCGGTGATGTTGGGGGGGGGGGCTCTGCAGCTTACTTGGCTGCTTCTTGCTCTGACTGAGGGCTGCTGGGCGCAGGGGGTGGATGTGCATGTGCCCGCCCCCTGGGCTCTTTACTGCCAGAGCTCCGCTCCTCTGCGTTCCTGCAGGAAATGACCCCTGGGCGACACACCCCTAATGTAGCCAATCCTCAGAGAGCTTACAGAGCTCTTCTTACAGGGGCTACTGTAAGCTCTTGGAGGATTGACTACATTAGGGGTGTATTGTCGCCTAATATGCAAAGGAGTCCCTGCTACAGAAAGAGCCCTGAGTCAGCACACTACAAGGACACCCAGCAAAGGCATGAGCCCTGCTTATAAAGCATCCAAACACCACACCCAACACCCACCCACTCCCAAGGACGGACTACTGACATTACACCTCTTATCGATCGGCTTGCCCCAGGATCCAGGTGAGCCATTGTTCTAGAGGAGCAAGCTCACCCTGTTCCTGGTACAGCTTAAGGAATGGCTTTAGGCTCAATACATAACAGTTGGGAAAAGTCCTCTAAATATTCAGGAGCCGGACGGGTTGGCAAGAGCTGCCAGGTCCCTCCTGGCAACGGGCAGGGGACGGAGGGGGGGACTTACCGGGAGCAGCAGGGAGGCCCACCCGACGTACAGTGATGTGCCTATGTCACTTCCCACGTGACCCGGAAGTGACCTCATTGTGTCTGGGATGTTGGGGCGACGCTCTGGTATTTGGGCGAGAACTCTACGGGTCATGTGGGCTGTGACGTAGACACGTTGCTGCATGTCGGATGGATCTCCCTCTTTTTCGGGGTGAGTTCCCCCCCACCGGCCAGCTGATCAACAATGGGGAGGTGGGGCCTGTTAGTGGGGGACTCCCACCTCCACCACGGGGGGGAAGGGGTCTGGCAACCCTAGGGGTTGGGGGGGGGATGCTTTAACATCCCTGCCTGTCTAGCACTTTCCTGTCCCCGTCATAAGTCAGACCCCAAAGAAGGGAAAGCGTGCAGGATTCTTGTGATTTATCTAGGTTGCAGTTAAGAGTTATCAGAACATTTGTTGTTGCTTCGAGCAGGAGGGAGCCTCCCTTTCAAAGGAGACTTTTGCCAGGTTTTGTACCCCAAAAGGAATTGGGATTAGCAATCAAAGATCAATGGGCAAGTTATTTTAAACACTGAAGTGTCACCATTCCCAAGCCACACAAGAAGGTGGAACGACTGGGAAAGAAGAATTCCCATTCTGCATTTGTTAGAGAAGGAAGAAGAAGAGGAAGAGATTGGATTTATACCCCACCTTCACTTGGAGTCTCAGAGTGGCTTACAAACTCCTTTCCCTTCCCCTCCCCACAACAGACACCCTGTGAGGGGGGTGGGGCTGAGAGAACTCTGACACAAACTGCTCTTTTTCAAGGACAGCTGTGCCAGAGCTTGTGACTGACCCAAGGTCACATCAGCAGGTGCAAGTGGAGGAGTGGGGAATCAAACCCGGTTCTCCCAGATTAGAGTCCGCGCACTTAGCCACTGCACCAAACGGGCTCTCCAACAACAGGAGTCTCCAACATGGTGTCCGTGAGCTTCGCGATGCCCGTCTGCACCTTGCCTGGTGCCCACCAAGTGCTTTTAGAAAGCGGGTGTGGCCAGATTAGGCTTTTGCCCAGCAAGGCTTCTGATTGGCCACGAGAGATCTGCTTGTGTAGATTTTTAAAACTTTTGCTTTGGCGGTCACTGCCACCGCGACACAAGAATCTCCACTGTGTGACAGAATGTGAGCCACGGCAGCCATTTTCTGGCTGTGCCCACCACACAGGGTCAGGATTCCAAAGGTGCCCACCACAGGCTCCAAAAGGTAGGGGACCCTTTGCGTTAGAGCAAAAGGCCATTCTATGCCTGAACAAGAGCCAAACCTCCAATGGTGCCCAGAGCTTAGGTCACAAAGAATATGCAACACGCGCACACACACAACTCCACCCGAGATGTTCCCACTGGCATTTTGTTCACTCACCTTGTCTTCAGACATTCTCCTTGTTTCTCGAAGCTCCGAATGCAGCTGAGAAACTGTGTCTTCCAGCTGACCGATCTGCCGCATGTACAGAGAACTCTGGTTTCTTGCTTGTTCTCTAAGGGGGAAAAGAATGGGAGGAAAAGACGATGAACACCCAGTAAGAGAAACGGAAGGGCAGCATACAGCTCAGTCTTATGTAGGGGTGCCAGCTCTGGGTTGGGAACTGTGACTGGCCCAAGGTCACCCAGCAGGCCTCATGTGTCTCAAAGCGGCTTACAATCGCCTTCCCTTCCTCTCCCCACAACAGGCACTCTGTGAGGCAGGTGGGGCTGAGAGAGTTCTGAGAGAACTGTGACTGGCCCAAGGTCATCCAGCAGGCCTCATGTGTCTCAAAGCGGCTTATTTATTTATTTATTTATTTGGATTTCTATCCCGCCCTCCCAGCAGGCTTATAATCGCCCTCCCTTCCTCTCCCCACAACAGGCACCTTGTGAGGCAGGTGGGGCTGAGAGAGTTCGGAGAGAATGGTCACCGGCTCAAGGTCACCCAGTAGGCCTCATGTGTCTCAAAGCGGCTTACAATCGCCCTCCCTTCCTCTCCCCACAACAGGCACCTTGTGAGGCAGGTGGGGCTGAGAGAGTTCGGAGAGTACTGTGACTGGCCCAAGGTCACCCAGCAGGCCTCACCTGTCTCAAAGCAGCTTACAATCGCCTTCATTCCTGTTCCCACTACAGGCATCTTGTGAGGCAGGTGGGGCTGAGAGTTCTGAGAGAACTGTGACTGGCCCAAGATCACCCAGCAGGCTTCATGCGGAGGAGGAGTGGGGGAATCAAACCTGGCTCTCTGGATTAGAGTCCACTGCTCTTAACCACTCCACCACACCTACTATCTCACCCTTTTTGTGTTTTAATGTTTTTAATCCTTATTGTACGCCGCCCTGAGCCTGCCTGAGGCGGGGAGGGCAGGATAAGAATCGAATAAATAAATAAATAAATAACTATTTAAAAGAAATGCACGCAAAGCCGATGCTCTGCCATGGGAGTCACGGCCCCTCCCCCTTGACATTAATTTATTATTTCTCATTCCAAAATCTATACAAAAAAGAGGTTTAACGAATCCGGAGCCTTGTTTAAACGAGAAGGCAACGGCCCATTATCGACAGAGCAGACAGGAGAGGAGCCATTTGCTTTAGACTCCTCGCCAGTGACGTCCTAGGACGGTATTCTTAAAAGACCTACTGAATGATTTCCAGCTGGCTTTGGATGTTGGACGCGTGGCTGTGGGAGGCGCTCGCTTTTTCGTTCACCGCCTCCAGTTCCATTTCGTGTTCGCTTATCAATCTTTCAAGGCTTTGGGAGAAAGAACAGGAACATCAACAATCAGTTTAAACAGAAGTCAGGATCCAAAGTCTGGTGCTAATGCATCGATCGCTCAACACGGCACCTAAGGTTTCCGTGGCAGCGACGGGAGATGGAAGAGCCAAGCCCTGGAAACCCAACAGAAAAGTCCTAGCAGTAGCCACAGCTTAACGAACGTTCCATATACAAAAGAACCTCCTCAGGAAAGCTCCTCCATTAGCACAGCCTGGGGGGACTCCTACAAGATAATGACTCAGCCACACCCCACCTTCCTGAGTAGATATAGATTACCTGCCTACCATTTCTCTTCTCACCTTGACACAGAGAGTACTGTCAAGTCCTACAGTGCCAAGACCAGAGCCATACATCCCAGAAAATCTACAACAGCTCCGTGTTTGCTTGATAGGACTCCGCCATGACAAGGGACTCTTCCGCACTCTCATTTCCTCCCATGTGTGCCCAATACTGTTTCAAGGTTTTTTTTCTTTTCTGCATGCGTTTTACTCCCTCTAGTGATCACTTCGATGTTACATCACTTTACCTCCAGCATTTTTCCCTGCAGGAGATACAGCGATGTAGCATCGAAGCGGCCACTAGAGGGAGCAAAACACATCTTGGGGGAAAAACCCTGAAGCAACAGGGGCACACAAGCGATGAAAATTAGAAAGCAGAGCTCATTATCATAAGTACCTAAAAAGAACCCTGCTGGATCAAACCAAAAGCTCACTAAGTCCAGCATTTTGTTCACACGGCGGACAACGGGCTGCCTTTAGGAACCCCACAAGCAAGATGACCGCGACAGCGTCCTCCCCCCTGCACTCCCCAGCAACTGATATAAAATGGCAAACTGCTTCTGGTACTGTTCTTATGACAATGGCACCAATACAAGCAGGATGGACAGGGTGGGGAGAAGAGGCTCTTGCTACAAACAGTGAATATGAGAAGAGGCGATATAAATGAGGAAAGAGGAGGAGGGAGGAAAATGGAAGATTTAGTCTCAGGGGAACCCGTTGGAAGTTCCAGATGCGATGTCCCCGTCTCAGACCCCCAGACTGAGTGGCAAGAGAGACTAGATAGCTAGAGAGGCACACTGACCTTCCTTCCTGTGTTTACTCTTCTGCCTCTGTCCCCTTTGAGAGGCACACTGACCTTCCTTCCTGTCATCTACTCTTCTGCCACTGTCCTCTTTGAAATGCAGACTGTGATCTCAGGGAGCAATTTCCCTTTTCCTGCTTCTCTCTCACTCTGCATGAGGACTTGCTCTCCACCTGCCCGCACCAAGAGAGGGACACGCGGTCCTCTCTTGGCACCATGAGGCAGATGGGCCTCTCTCCAAGTGAAGGGCGGGGTATAAATACAATCTCTTCTTCTTCTACTTCTTCCATCCGCCTCCATACTTTAGCTAGTAAATTAGTAATCTCTCCTCTCTCCTGTTGTGGGAGAGTGTTTTTACTGGGGATCCGACAGGCACCGTGACCGAGAAAAGGCCATTTCTCAAGCTGCCACCTGTTTAGCAACTGAAGCAGGTCCTTAGCAGATGATGGGTAGGTTCATATGGGAGAAAATTTGTGTTTTTCTCTTGTGTGTGCGTGTGTGCGTGTGTGCGTGTGTGCGGGGGGTACTTAAAGAAAAAGTTTGATATAGACTATTTCTGGCAAACGAGAGCAGAAACAGGAGCATTTTTTAAGCAACGCGCCCAATTCTCTTCGGTGAGAAAAGAAGACAAACACGTACCTGTCTTGATGCTGCTGAAGCAGAAGTTGGGTTTTGGACTCTGACTCTTTCTTCATCACTTCCAGCTGTTCTTCCAGCTGCGGATGATAAATTATTACAATTTACAGCCCAGCGAGCAAGTACGGCTTACATGAAAACACCACACGGAGGACTTCAGGCTCAGAAACGAAGAAGAAGAAGAAGAAGAAGAGGTGGAGGAGGAGGAGGAGATTGGATTCATACCCCGCCCTTCACTCCCCAAAGGAGTCTCAGAGCGGCTTACAAACTCCCTTCCCTTCCCCTCCCCACAACAGACACCCTGTGAGGTGGGTGGGGCTGAGAGAACCCTGACACAAACTGCTCTTTTCCAAGGACAGCTGTGCCAGAGCTTGTGACTGACCCAAGGTCACATCAGCAGGTGCAAGCGGAGGAGTGGGGAATCAAACCCGGTTCTCCCAGATTAGAGTCCGCGCACTTAACCACTACACCAAACTGGCTCTCAGACTCTGGGGCAAGGATACGGGATTGAGGAACACCAAAGGTGGTAGATCACTGTTCGTTTGCAGCGGCAAAGGCTTCTGGGTATCTCGGCCAGGACGGGCGGTGGTGGAAAGGGCTGCCGAGTTGCGGCCGACTTAACGGCGAACCGGTGGGGTTTTCAAGGCAAGAGACGGACAGAGCTGGTTTGCCATGGCCTGCCTCTGTGCAGCAGCCCTGGGCTTCCTTGGTGATCTCCAGTCCAAACACTAAACAGGCCCCGCTTAGCTTCCAAGATCTGACAGTATCGGGCTAGCTTGGGCCATCCGGGGCAGGACCAGGACTAGTTTTCTCATTATTCTCAAGGTAGGGTCAGTGCTTATTGGGTATCCTGAAGGATTCCATCTACGCCAGCATAAGAAAAGGGCGAGAGCTCAGTTTCTGGTTGGGCACTAACAGGAAGCTAACGACTTCTGAAAGGGGGAGGAGCTTGCACCAGGAAAGTGACACAGGCTAATCCTACCTCCTTCCCAGATTTCCTGCAGCAGCTATTAAGCTTTAGCTCCATGGGTCATTTCCTGCAGGAGCACACAGGAGCGGAGCTCCAGCAGTAAAGAGCTCAGGGGGCGGGCACATGCAACAAGCCCCACCCCCTGCTCCCAGCAGCCCTCAGTCAGAGCAAGAAGCAGCCAGGTAAGCTGCAGAGCCCCCCCTCCACCCCACCTGGTCCAAAACAGTCCAGTGGCACCTTTAAGACCAAGTTTTATTCAGGTACAAGCTCTCCCTCCTCTGCGAGGACAGATCTGCACATGCCCCCCCCCACAATAGCTAGCCATCCAAAACAGTCCAGTGGAGCCTGAGCGGTGGGCGTTGCGTTCTGACACACTTCCGGCGATGTCATGGGGTGTGGCATATGCAAATAAGTTATTCTAATGAGTTATGCTAATGAGCTCCTGCACCTCTTTGTCTGCGAAATGACCCCTGCTTAGCTCTGACATATAGAAACCGGCACCGTAACTGCTTCCATCACCCGGCCAACATTAAATCCAGAATTGTTATGTTTTCATACGTTGGTCTGAATAGGACAGCCAGGTCTGAGTCCAGTAGTTCCTTCGAGGCCAGCAAGTTCTGGGGGAGGATGAGTCTTCAAGACTCAAAGCTCCCTTCTTCAGGCAGGAGTTGGAATGGAGGTCCCTTTTATAACCCTTGAAGCATTCCTCCTCTGCCAGTTTGGTGTCGTGGTTAAGAGCGCGGACTCTGATCCGGGAGAACCGGGTTTGATTCCCCACTCCTCCACATGCAGCTGCTGGTGTGACCTCGGGACAGTCACAAGTTCTTTCAGAGATGCTCTCTCAAGGGCAGTCCTCGAAAGAGCTCTCCCAGCCCCACCTGCCTCACAGGGTGTCTGTGGTGGAGAGGGGAAGGGAAAGGATTTTGTAAGCCGCTCTGAGACTCCTTCGGGTAGTGAAGGGCGGGGTATGAATCCAATCTCCTCCTCCTCCTCTTCTTCTTCTTCCTCGTCTTCTTCTTCTGATTACCATGTGCATTGCACCTTTGCATCCCGAGCCCCTTCTTTGTAACACACCTCCCACCCTTCTGGTTGGGATATATGGGCTCAGGGATCTCCATTCCAGCTTGTATCTGATGAAGGGAGCTTTGACCCTTGAAAGCTTATACTCCCAGAAGCTTGTTGGTTTCTAAATTACTACTGGACTCAAATCTAGCTCTTCACAATAGTTGTACGTACCTAAGTACCAACGGTTTCCAAGCCGAGTTGAACTGTACACTAGAAACATGACCACCAGTTCCAAAGGTGATTGCATTGTTGCTACATTTAAAATGGTTGATTGAATTTGGTGTAGTGGTGTAGTGGTTAAGTGCGTGGACTCTAATCTGGGAGAACCGGGTTTGATTCCCCACTCCTCCACTTGCACCTGGCTGGATGACCTTGGGCAAGCCATAGTTCTGATAAGAACTGTTCTTGAAAAAAAAGAGCAGTTTCTGTCAAGAGCTCTCTCAGCCCCACCTACCTCACAGGGTGTCTGTTGTGGGGAGGGGAAGGGAAAGGAGTTTGTAAGCCGCTCTGACACTCCTTTGGGTAGTGAAGGGCAGGGTATAAATCCAATCTCTTCTTGTTGTTGTTTTACCTCACAGGGTGTCTGTTGTGGGGAGGGGAAGGGAAAGGAGTTTGTAAGCCGCTCTGACACTCCTTTGGGTAGTGAAGGGCAGGGTATAAATCCAATCTCTTCTTCTTGTTGTTGGCACAGGGCAGGGTATAAATCTAATCTCTTCTTCTTGTTGTTTTACCTCACAGGGTGTCTGTTGTGGGGAGGGGAAGAGAAAGGAGTTTGGAAGCCGCTCTGAGACTCCTTTGGGTAGTGAAGGGCGGGGTGTAAATCCAGTCTCTTCTCTTCTTCTATCATTAAATAGGATATCAAATCCACTTGCTACAGAACAGACATGGCTGTTACCCCTTTTTCCAAGGTGTGTGCTACCATGACCCGGTTAAAGGTCAGACTGTAAAATCCGACCCTGGGTATGCCACTAGTTCCCCCACACACACTGCTGAGCAACCTCTGCCCTTATTAGAGATAGAGAGAGAGAAGAGTTTGGATTTATGCCCCGTCCTTCACTACCCAAAGGTACCCAAAGAGCATCTTACAATCTCCTTTTCCTTCCCCTCCCCACCACAGACACCCTGTGAGGCAGGTGGTGCTGAGAGAGCTCTGAGAGAACTGCTACTGAGAGAACAGCACTGACCCAAGGTCGCACCAGCAGCTGCATGTGGAGGAGTGGGGAATCAAACCCGGTTCTCCCAGATTAGAGTCCACGCTCTTAACCACGACACCAAACCAGCTCTCATTAGGGTTGCCACTGGCTAGCACCTGGCAGGAGACTGGGAGGTGAGGATATGAAGGGGATGTCGACTGTAGGATGTCATTTCCAGGGCGAACCTAGAAGTGATGTCACACCACTCTAGGATTCAGCAGAAAACTCTGTGGTTTTTAGCATCGTTTTCTAGAGCCGTGTGATATCACTTCTGCATTCTCCCCGGAAATGATGTCCCACCACTGATGTGACAGTGATTTTTACCTTATCTCCCCCCCCCCCCAAAGCTGGCCTACTGAGTGGCCGGGGGGAGGGGGGCGCCGGTAGGAGGTGGCAATGCTAGGCCTTGTGCAAAACAAGTTACACTTAAAATCAGCTGAAAGGCACTTACTGGGGCGATCATCGATTTGACGTGCATCACCTCTGCCTCGAGATCTCGAATGATTTTAATAAACGCGGTGGGCAGGGTACGGATGTGCAGACTGGAGACGGTCTCGTTTTCGCAGACCTTCTTGCCGGAGTGCTGCTCGTAATCCACCAGGATGTCCCGGAGTTCCTGGAGCACTTCCTCGTGGGCCTGCACCATCGTCTTCAGATGCTCGGTTTGGTTGTTGGCTTCCTTCAGCATCTCCTCATGAAGGTGATTGGCCGTTTCCAGCTCTTTGATCGTCGCCCGCAGCCCAGCGCAGACATCCTCAGAGGTTTGGGATTCTCTCCGTCTGTTAATCAGGAAAGAAAGCACCCGAGACAGATGTCGGAGTCTCGGGGAACTCTGCGACTGTGTTCTCATAGAATAATAGAACGTTAGAGTTGGAAGGGACCTTGCAGGTCATCTAGTCCAACCCCCTGCACTCTGCAGGAGCATAGCCGAAAGAAAGCCCTACATACCTACAACATACCCGAAAGATGGTCGTCCAGCCTCCGCTTCAAAACATCCAGCGAAGGAGCATCCACCACCTCTGGAGGCAGTCTGTTCCACTGCTCAACCACTCTTACAGTTAGGAAGTTTCTCCTGATATTTAGCCGGTAACGACTCCCTTGTAATTTCCACCCATTAGACCTAGTCTTGCAATTCCGGAGCAAGAGAGAATAGATCCGCTCCATCTTCTCCATGACAGCCCTTCAAATACTTGAAGACTGCAATCATGTCTTCTCTATCCCAGGCTAAACATACCCAACTCTTTCAGCCTTTCCTCATAAGACTTGGATTCCAACCCTCTCACCATCCTGGTTGCCCTCTTCTGGACACGCTCGAGCTTGTCAACATCCTTCCTAAAATGTGGTGCCCAAAACTGGACACAGTACTCCAGGTGAGGCCTGACCATAGCAGAATAGAGCGGAACTACCACCTCCCGTGATCTGGACACAATGCTTCTGTTCATGCATCCTAAGATTGTATTAGCTTTCTTCGCAGCCACATCGCACTGCAAGCTCATTTTTAGCCTGTGATCAGTTGCGGTGGCTCAAGTGGTTAAGACGCTGAACTGCAGGCTGTGGAAGGTCAGTAGTTCAGCAGTTCGAGACCCGGGTGCCGCATGATGGAGTGAGCTCCCACCTCTAGTTCCAGCTCCTGCCAACCTACCAGTTCGAAAGCAAGAAATTGCAAGTAGATAAATAGGTACCACTTCGGTGGGAAGGTAACAGCGTTCCGTGCGCCTTGGTGTTTAGTCATGCCGGCCACATGACCACGGAAACGTCTTCGGACAGCGCTGGCTCTTCGGCTTTGAAACGGAGATGAGCACTGCAACCCTAGAGTCGGATTCGACTGGCTTTCGAGCAAGGGAACCTTTACCTTTACTTTACCAACCAGAACACCTAGATCCCTTTCACATGTGCTGCTGTCAAGCCAAGTCCCTCCCATTCTATATCTGTGCCTTTGATTTTTTGTACCTAAGTGTAGGACTTTGCACTTATCTCTATTGAAATTCATTTTATTTGTCTCCGCCCACTGTTCCAGCCTATCTAGATCATTCTGAAACCTGACTGTTTTCTTCAGAATGAGCAATCCCACCCATCTTACTGTCATCTGCAAATTTGATACGCATCCCCTCTATGTCTTCCTCCAGGTCATTTATAAAAACATTGAACAACACTGGGCCTAGGACCAAGCCCTGTGGCACTGCCGGAAGAGATCAGGGCCCTGCAGGACCTTTTACAGTTCCGTGGGGCCTGCAAGACGGAGCTCTTTTGCCAGGCTTCCGACTAGGAGCTGCCACCACCACTACCATCATAGCCAGCCTGGTGCCTGGTCTACTACCAATAGCCTGTGCTCGCCAACCAAAACTGAGAAAGACCGTGAAGCTGAATGTCTAGTGAACCTACAGAGTGTAATGTGAAGCTACAGAGTGTATGAGGCCATCTTTCATATCATCAGTTGTAAGTTAGTTTCAATGAACTGTTTTAGATACTTAGATATTTATTGTTATTGTGTTTTTATGATGTGTTATTGTGTTTCTATGAGCCTGCCTTGGCGGGGAGGGCGGAGTACAAATCCAAGCAAGCAAATAAACAAATAAATAAAATTTACCAAGCTTCCACCCTGCCTTTCTACCCTTCCGAGAGCCACCGGGGCTGCTGGCAATTTAAAACGTATATAATTTTTAAAATCGCATTTTAAAACCGTTAATATCGACCCCCAGCACCACATCATTAAAACAAAGATGAGAGTTAAAACCAGGGGTCATTTCCTGCAGGAACGCACAGGAGTGGAGCTCCAGCAGTAAAGAGCCCAGGGGGCAGGCACATGCAACAAGCCCCGCCCCCTGCTCCCAGCAGCCCTCAGTCAGCGCAAGAAGCAGCCAGTTAAGTTACAAAGCTCCCCCCGGGCCCCCGGCCCATAACAGTCCAGTGGCACCTTTAAGACCAAGTTTTATTCAGGTACAAGCTTTCCCTCCTCTGCGAGGACAGATCTGCACGTTCCCCCCCACCCCCAATAGCTAGCAATCCAAAACAGTCCAGTGGAGCCTGAGCGGTGGGTGTTGCCTTCTGACAGACTTCCGGTGATGTCAGGGGGTGTGGCATATGCAAATAAGTTGTGCCGATGAGTTATGCTAATGAGCTCCTGCACCTCTTTTTCTACGAAATGACCCCTGGTTAAAACGCATTGGAGGAGGAGGATGTAGGAACGGCAACTGGAACGTTGGTCAGGAAGGAGTGACCACAGAGGGAAGGCCAATTGAAACAAAAAAAGGTCTCCGCCCCCTGGCTGGCAACAATGACAGAAGGGGGCAGACGAATCCCCCTGGGGAGAGAGTTCCAGAGGTTTGGTGCCGTGAGTGAGAAGTCAGGCTAGGGGTGCCGGCCTCCAGGTGGGACCTGGGGATCCCCTGGAATTACAGCCCACCTCCAGACCAATGCTCCCTCTAAGCTGTGGAGTCCTGTGAGCAAAAATTTTACTTTGTGAGCTACTGGTATTAAAGTTGTGAGCGAGCGATTCGGCTGCTGCATAAATCAGTTTGCTCCGGAGCCATCCTTCCTGCGCTAAGACAAAAATGTGTGAGCTGGAGGCTAAAAAACTGTGAGCTAGCTCAGACTAACTCACCTTAGAGGGAACCCTGCTCCAGACTACACAGCTCAGTTCCCCTGGATAATATGGATGCTTTGGAGGCTGGACTCTAAAGCAGAGGTGTCGAAGTCATTTGTTATGAGGGCCAGATCTGACATAAATGTCACTTTGTCTGGGCTGGGTCAAGGCCAAGTGTGCCATGAAACATAATGCCAGGTACTGGAGATACAAACTTTATAAAGGACAGCAGCTGGTAAGCACTGAATTGGTGTGTCTTCACTGCAAGGCCCCATGGGCTGGGAGGGGGGTGCAAAGGAAAACCCATATGGACTGACTGCAGACTGACTGCTTGACTGCTACTAGTTGCTCGTGGGCCACATGAGCCCTGGATGGGCCAGCTCCGGCCCCCGGGCCTTATGTTTGACAGCCCTGCTCTAGAGCATCGTACCCCACTGAGGTGCCCATCCTCCCCAGGCTCCACCCCTAAATCTCCAGGAGTTTTCCAACCTGGATCTTGCAAGCCGACCCCCCCCCCCTTCCCCCCCCCGGGGGCCGGGGGGGGGGGAACGACCGGGCAACCCTAGAAGGCCCTCTCCCATCTCTCCAATGCCTTCTCTTCAAAGGAGTCAGGTGGGTCTTTTTGCAGTTTGCAAAAGGGGGGAAAGGATACACACGCTATCTGTCTGGGTGCTCTCCTCGACTTCTCTGCTCAGCTACTATATCTGTAAATAAGCAGGCATTGTACAAATACGGCACGTTTCCAACTCTCGGTTGGGGAATTCCAAGATTTGGCAGGCGGGGCCTGGGAGTGGCAGTGTTTGGGGACGCGAGGGACCTTCACGGAATACAGTCCCGTAGAACCTATCCTCCAAAGCAGCCATTTCCTCCGGGGGTCCCAAATATACAAATTCCACTAGTAGAGAACACCATTCAAAGATTGCCAGAACAATACATTAAACAATGATGAAGTTGGTGGTGTCACAACAACAACGTTAATGCATAACCAACGTTCCCTCTAAGCTGTGGAGTCTTGTGAGCAAGAATTCTTCTTTGTGAGCTACTGGCATTAAAGTTGTGAGCGAGCCATTTGGTTGCTGCATAAATCAGTCAGCTCTGGAGCCATCCTGCCTGAGCTAAGACAAAAATGTGTGACCCAGAGGCTAAAAAACTGTGAGCTAGCTCACACTAACTCAGCTTAGAGGGAACATAACTATAATAAGGCATAAGATGCAATATTTCCTCCTTTGAAGATAAGAACCTATGGTTCGCTTCTTACACTATGAACCTTGTGGTCTGCTGACATTGCTGAAATCAGGTTCCACTTACACAGCCGGCAAACTGAAGAAGTCGAAGGAAATGCATGTTCCGAGTATCTAGAACGGGCGTCTTTGCAAAGGCCCACTTTGGAAAACGTTATGACTAGGTGGACTCCTCTTATCAAGTCACACTGACTATGTGGACTTTATGTCTTACCTTCAAAGGGGGAAATATTGCATCTTATGCCTTATTATAGTTACAGTATGGACTAATGTTGTTGTTGGGACACCACCAACTTTGTAATTGTTTAACGTATGGTTTTTGGCAATCTTTGATGGTGTTTTCTACTAGTGGGATTTGTATATTTGGGACTCCTGTGACACTAGTCTTTCCCCCTTGTTGTTTGGATTTCCCCCAGGGGAGCTGATCTCTGTAGTCCGGAGATCTGCTGTGATTCTGAGAGATCTCCAGACTCCACCTGTTTCCAGCGCGCCCTCCCTAACAGGAACATGATCCCCAGCCAGGGCTTTTTTTGTAGAAAAAGCCCAGCGAAAACTCATTAATAGGCCATACCCAACAGCAGGAACTCATTAGCATATTAGGCCACACCCCCATGTTACCAGAAGTGTGGTCATCCAACCACACCCACCTGTTGCTTCTTATTCTCTTTACCTTGTTTGCTGTCAAAACCCAGGGCTTTTTTTTAAACAGGAACTCCTTTGCATGTTAGGCCACACCCCCTAATTGTAGCCAATCCCAATGAGTTTCTGCTGTTGGGTGTGGCCTATTATGCTAATGAGTTCTTGCTGGGCATGGCCAACTTGGGAGCCAGCCGGAACTCCGTTCCTGTGCGTTCCTGCCCAAAAATAGCCCTGCCCCCAGCCACTGCTCCTGGGAAGCAAGGAAACCACCAAAAAATTTAATCTAAAAAGTAACTGATCTGTACTCAGTTGTGCATGGCTGTCTGACTGGTACACCGTCCCAGGTCAGCAGTTAAGAACAAGAGGCTTAGGAACTTTGGTTGTCTTCGGTCTGCACTGTGAGAATGCTCACCTGAGGTCGCAAACAGAGTCTTTCTCCCTCTGTACCTCCCGGAGGCTTGTCTGCAACTCAATGACTGTCTGCCTTAAACTGAACTTCTGTTGCTCATGCAGCTCTGTAGCCTGTGGGAGACGAAATAAGACCACAAGTCAGTACCATTGACTCTACCCCTGCCCCTAGGCGGCTGAGGAAACATATGTGTATTGACAGGCTACACAGAAGTTTTTCCAGCGGAGCAAATGGCAGGGATGCTTGACAAGCAGCTGATTCAGCTGGCATCCTGTTTGCCAGTGGCAATTGGGTAGCCAATGCACTGAAAAGACAGTTCAGCCATTTACAACCTCTCTTTGGAGGAACAGGTGACTTCTAGCTATCAGAACCCGATTGCCAGCATCAGCTGGGAGTCAGTTTCTGATCTCCCATTGGTAAAATTTTGCTGTATGCATAGCAAAGATGAAGAAGAAGAAGAAGAGATTAGATTTATACCCTGCCCTTCACTACCCAAAGGTGTCTCAGAGCGGCTTACAAACTCCTTTCCCTTCCCCTCCCCACAACAGACACCCTGCGAGGTAGGTGGGGCTGAGAGAGCTCTGGCAGAAACTGCTCTTTTTCAAGAACAGCTCTTATCAGAACTACGGCTTGCCCAAGGTCATCCAGCCAGGTGCAAGTGGAGGAGTGGGGAATCAAACCCGGTTCTCCCAGATTAGAGTCCACACACTTCAGCACTACACCAAACTGGCTGAAATACAGGAGGCAGTTAGAACCACCCTCTCTGCTAATTGCAGTGATCGGCTAGAAGTCGTATTCTTCTGATCTCCCAGCCTGGAAAGTCTACTGTATACCTGCCTTGGAGATCTGCTCTTATTCCCCGCAGCCCAGACTGACAGCTGGGGGAGGGGTGCAGTCGGCTTCTTTCTCCCCTTGCCCCAAAGTGAGAACGCTCCTAGCACGTGTAACAGCCAAGTGACAGCCACGTGGGCACCTTATTCCCTTCCGTGCCACAGGGTGAGGTTTGGTTTTTTTTAGTCTTCCATGATAATTTTCTGCCCCGAAGCATTCCTCCCCTTCTCAAACCAAGCTGATTACATTTTGCAGTATCGCTGCAGTTAAAATGGCAACTGACACATGACACGTGAAACCACTTTGCACTGAATCAGAGCGCTGGTCTGTCAAAGTCGGCACTGCCTACCGAGACTGGAAGCAGCTCACCAGGGTTTCAGGCAAAGGTCTTTCACATCATCTACTGCAGAGGTGTCAAACTCATTTGTTACGAGGGCCGGATCTGATATTAAATGTCTCTTTGCCGGGCCGGGCCACGTGCGCCATAAAATGTTATGCCAGGTACCGGAGATAGAAACTGTATAAAGGACAGCAGCTGGTAAGCTCTGAGTCGGTGTGTCCTCAGTGCAAGGCCCTCTGGGGTGGGAGTAGAGATGTAAAGTTTCCGGAAATTTTGAAGCTCGGGGAAAAACCCAGGGTTTTTTTCGGGGGGGGGGACGGAATTTTTTGGAAAAATGGGGGGAAATGCTACATTAGCACTTCTTTTTTCTTTTCCAGATTGAAAGTCATTCTGTTACTTTAGGAACATACAATATGACTATGGACAATTTTACTTGGCATGAAATTACCACAAGCATATTAAAATAGTGTATCCAAACAATTATTGTGGGTGGGTGGGGGGAAGTAAAGAACCAGATTAGTAGTAATTAAATTATTATTTTCACAAAGGTTATAAAGATAAACTAATGTAGCTAAATGATTCAGTTTTCTGGAATCAGATAAATGAAAACTCTTCACCTTTTTAAATTAAGTATATACTTTCAGGTCCTTTTTGTTGCTCTGTATTTTCTTCCAATGATTTGAGACCTAGTGAAGCCTGAGAGCCAGTATACCCACCCACATGCAAAAAGAAAACTGAAACCTTTTTATTTTCTTGTGTCAACAGCACCTCCTAAAGGAAGAAATGCATCTTGTCCTTGCATTGGAGAGTTCAGTTTGTAACCTAGGACTTTGCTTGTCCTCAGGGCACAGAAATTAGATCAATCTAATACCATACATATTTCTTAGAAATGATTTGGAAAATATTCGAACACCTTGTCTCAAAATATTTTATTCATCATGTTAAAATAAAATGTTCCATAATCAATTCTTTTAATTTCTTTTTTTCAATTTTTCCAGTTTTTTGGGGGAAAACAAAAAAGGCTTCAGGAAAACAAAAAAGGCTTCAGGAAAACAAAAAAGGCTTCAGGAAAAAACCCCACAAAGGCGGACTGGAGAGGCAGCAGTGCAGTGCTGGGCAGATGCTCCCATGATATTTGACTGCTGCAGGTGAGGTTGTTCTGCTGTGCTGAAGCCACAATGGAATGGCTCCGCCCATTCCCCCCCAGCACTCCCTCCCTTGCATCAGTTGCTCGCGGGCCGCCTAAGAGCCATGGACGGGCCGGATTCGGGCCCCGGGCCTTTTGTTTGACACCCATGATCTACTGCCAGATTTTATTTTATTTTTAAACACCCTAGAGATGTCGGGGATTGAACCTGGGACCTTCTGCATGCCAAACAGAGGCTCTTCCACGGAGCCACAGCAAGGACAGCGTTCGACACTCACTTCGCATAGCCTCTTCTGCAGATCTCTGACTTGCTGGGAATAGTCTTCAAAGACGTTTTCCGCAGGCTCTTTCCCAGGGTTGCTGCCCCTCCTCGGGCTCCCGGCGTCTCCTTCAAATTTGGAGTACAGAGTCTTGGGCGGGCTGCTGGGCGTGCTGGAGCAGGGCTCTGGCATGGTGCTGCGTATACTTGGGGTCCGCTGTTTCGGGCTGCCCGTAAACGGAGTAGAAGCATCTAATAAAACGGGACAGGAATTTCAAGGCGGCCCCAAGAATTTCAAGGCGGCCTTCTTACCCAGCCACACAAATTGACATGTTTATTTATTGAATTCGTTTGTGCCCCCCTTTTCTCCCCAATGGGAACCCAAAGAAGCGTCCATCGTTCCCCTCTCCCCCGTTTTATTCTTACAACAACCCTGTGGGGTAGGTTATGTTGGGAGAGTGTGACTGGCCCATGTGATATCTGCTCGACAGAGTCAGAGTATTCCACAGGCCCAGGGGTCATTTTGTAGAAAAAGAGGTGCAGGAGCTCATTAGCACAACCCATTAGCATAACTTATTTGCATATGCCACACACCCTGACATCACCGGAAGTGTGTCAGAAGGCAACATCCACCGCTCAGGCTCCACTGGACTGTTTTGGATTGCTAGCTTTTGGGGGGGGGGGGGACATGCAGATCTGCCCTCACAGAGGAGGGAGAGCTTGTACCTGAAGGCAGGATGGGGGGGAGGCTCTGCAACTTACCTGGCTGCTTCTTGCTCCTTGTGGCCCGACTGAGGGCTGCTGGGAGCAGGGGGTGGGGCTTGTTGCATGTGCCCACCCCCTGGGCTCCTTAATGCCGGAGCTCCGCTCCTGTGTGCTCCCGCAGGAAATGACCCCTGCACAGGCCCCTTCTAGAAGAATCTTGCCCCTCCCCTCTGATAATTTGTAGGACACTCTGAAGTTTGTAGCAGGCTTCTACGATCTTTTTGTCGCACAACAGCCCTCCAAGGGAAGGCACATTTACAGACGGAAAACTGAATGCCGTGGGACAGCAGCCCATTCTGCATCTAGCGTTCGCTCCGTTGTTCTACCCAACCCACACCGGAAGGGGAAAAGATGCGGCTCGAACCCACACTCAAATACCCCGGGCCAGCACCACACTGACTGCAGAGTCACCCCCTGAACGGCCATAAATCTATGCAGATGGTTCAACCGGCATGCAGTCTGGACACTGCTATAAAATCCGACAATCAATCAAAGTGAAAGTGGCTCTCAATGTAGAGGGGGATTTCTGTTCCAGCCTGGGTTTGGTATAACAGCAGAGCAAATGCTAGATGCAGAATGGGCCAGCAACTGATCCAAAGTGTCAAATTGGGGAGAAATGAAAGCAATGGGTATATGTACAGAACCACTGTTTATGATTACTTTAACCGCTGCATTTCACCAAATTAAAAACAGAATGCTAGACATTGAACGCCAGACGTTATTCAGCCAGGCCAACAAAACCTGCTCCCCGCTGAGCTTTGAGATTCCCCTCATTACTGGTAAAATGGCTCCATATCTATCCTCTTTGCAGGTGCCACAGCAGCATAGAGCATTTTCCCTTGCCAGATGTAACGTCACGCCTTCTGCCATCATTTATGGCAGATTCAGTCAGATAGCCTACTCAGCCAGATACTGCCCTTGCAATAAAAAACGTGTGGAGTCAATTACCCACATTCTCCTTTATTGTCACCTGTATACAGATTAACATCACATGCACCTACATTCTGTTTTAGTTAGGATGATGGACTGTTCTGATGCACTTAAGGTTTGTAGACTCTTGATTGATTTCTCCTCTAATGTCACTGAGAAGGTGGCTAAGTTTCTTTAATCTGCTATAAAGGTATGCCAAGGGATCTCACAGAAATATCCTTATATTTATACAGATGTATATGTATGTTGTGGTTTTAATCCACCTTTTATACTATATTAATTTGTATCACTATTTCCTATGCCAATAAAGGCTACTTAAACTTAAACATCAGAATTCACTTCTTCTGTTTCCGATTCGCCAGCCACCCATCCAGCAAAACTTTTTAAATATCTTGCAGCCACCGTGAGTGGAAAGGCCAGCTCAGGGTCTTTCTCCAGGGCTGATGTAATTTTTTTTTACATGCACATACAAAAGTACATACTTGAATGTCTTACGCTGGACGGAGACGAAGACCCTTCTCGACGTGAGATGGAGTCCACAGAGCACTTAGTTGCTTCCTCCTGGAGTTTCAAAGTCTCTTTGGTTTGCCTTTCCAGTGCTTCCCTGCATAATCCAAGGCATACACACGAGGATTAACTACTTATTCCCACAAAGTCATACACTGTGTAAACCTAATGTGTTCATTCTGATCACACTGCTAACTGTACAGTACAAGCAAGAAAAGAAAAGGAAAGGAAAAAATGTCACCACATATAGCTAATACATCCACTGACTCTGCCATAGCTTTTATTGTCCTATCAGAAATAACACTGGTGAAAAATAACATTTGACCAATACTGAATTCTCTGGTAAACAGAAATAATAACAGTAGGAAATAATATTTGACTGATACGGAATTATTTTGTAAAAACCACGCCTCGTGGACATTTCTATGATCAAAATGTCACCTACAGTGTTACCGAAATTTCTATCATTTGCACAAAAACAGATCCTACCTTAGCTCTTGAATATTCTTACTATTCTTACTCATTTTGGCACAACCTGCAAAAACAGGAATGAAGGGGAAAATGCCATGAAAAGGTGTGTGAGGAATGATACAAGTCTGTTACAGGTATGTCCCAGTTTTATCTATATCCTGGATCCACATTTGTTAAATTTGATGTTACTGATGATGAAGAAGAAGAAGAGGAGATTGGATTTGTACCCCGCCCTTCACTCGGAGTCTCAGAGAGGCTTACAAACTCCTTTCCCCTTCCCTCCCCACAACAAACACCCTGTGAGGTAGGCAGGGCTGAGAGAACTCTGAGACCGATTTCCCACAGCCGCTGCTTTGCGCTCGCTCCTCTCTTTGCCCTGATGGTACATGTCAATTTCCCACTCAAAGCCGTGCAGCCACATTGTGACCTGATTTTGACCTGCAATGTGCCCGCTTTTGCCCACGGTTTCACGATCCTCAAAAAACAGGATCACGAAACCGCAGGGGAAATCGGGCGAAGCCGCGGGTCAAAATGTGGCCATGCGGCTTCGAGGGGGAAATTGACACGTTCCATTGGGGCAAAGGGAGGAGCGAGCGCAGAGCAGCTGCTGTGGGAAATCGGTCTGAGAGAACTGTCCTTGAAAGACCGATGGCTTGCCCAAGGTCATCCAGCAGCTGCAAGTGGAGGAGTGGGGAATCAAACCCGGTTCTCCCAGATTAGAGTCCGCGCACTTAACCACTACACCAAACTGGCTGTATTGCTACCTTTTTAAAACGTAAAACAATCCAACTTTTTTTGTTATAAGACTGAAACTCAATGGCCACAGCCTGTGAGTAAAACCCAGTAAAATACTCAACTTCTACCTGGAAATGACTTTTAGAACTTATTTCACCTGGACTTCCACTACAGCCTCTGACTGAAGACACTTTCCTGGAGTACACCCAATTTAATAACATGGGACTTTCTTCTGAGTCAACCTGTTTAGGATCGCTCCCTCACAGCACAATACTCAACAGGGTTGCACTTTTCTAAATCCATTGTTTAGAAGAGAGAAGAAGAAGAAGAGATTGGATTTATACCCCACCCTTCACTCGGAGGCTCAGAGCGGGTTACAACCTCCTTTCCCCTCCCCCTCCCCACAGCAGACATCCTGTGAGGTAGGTGGGGCTGAGAGAGCTCTTTCCACGACTGCCCTTGAGAGAACAGCTTTGGCAGAACTATGGCTTGCCCAAGGTCATCCAGCAGCTGCATGTGGAGGAGTGGGGGAATCAAACCCGGTTCTCCCAGATTAGAGTCCACGCGCACTCAACCACGACACCAAACTGTTTAGGAATACACGGCTACCATCCCTAAAGGCTGCCAGCTCCGGGTTGGGAAACATCTGGAGATTTTGGGAATAGACCCTGGGACGGGCAGGGCTTGGGGAAGGGAGGGACCTCAGCAGGGTATAAGGCCATAGAGACCATCTTCCAAGACCGCCATTTTCTCCAGGGGATCTGATCTTGGTTGTCTGGAGACCAACTGTAATAGGGAGAGGTCTCCAGGTATCCCCTGGAGGTTGGCAGCCCTAACAATCCCAAAGCGGTACAACTAAATGCCCAGCCACACACTCCCTTCCACTCTCCAGTTTTGCCAACCCTTAACACTCGCACCTTAACCCGCACCTTCATTCTGATCCAAAGCACCACGCATTCACTCTTCTTCATGCATTAATATTTCTTTGTAAATAGATGTGCTGCTTACTAGTCATAACATGCAAGTGAGGCAACACAAAACAAATCAGGTTATACCCTAAAGGGTGAGTTGCTTGGTTAAAACGGAAAACCTTAAAGAGCTTTACAAGGAACCTAGGAAAAGGAGAGCTCTTGTTTGTATTCAGGAATCCCTGATGGAAAATACATACATAAACCTTCAGAAAGTTGTGAAAGTTCAGGACACAGGCTAAGATCATTTACAAGTTTCCAAAACAGAACCTCCGAGCATCACTTTGCTCCATGTATACAAATGCAATATCAGCTAATATCTGAAAATCAGACAGCCAGCATGGTGTGTCATGGTTAGAATGTTAAAAACTAGGAGCTGGGAGACCAAGATTAAAAATCACCCCTCTGCCATGGAAGCTCTTGGGGTGACCCTAGGCCAGTCACAAACTCTCAGCCTAACCTACCTCAGAGAAGAAGAAGAAGAAGAAGAAGAGGAAGAGGAGGAAGAGGAGGAAGAAGAGTAGTAGTAGTAGGAGGAGGAGACTAGATTTATACCCTACCCTTCACTACCAAAGGTGTCTCAGAGCGGCTTACAAACTCCTTTCCCTTCCCCTCCCCACAACAGACACCCTGTGAGGTAGGTGGGGCTGAGAGAGCTCTGGCAGAAACTGCTCTTTTTCAAGAACAGCTGTGCCAGAACTATGGTTTGCCAAGGTCATCCAGCCAGGTGCAAGTGGAGGAGTGGGGAATCAAACCCGGTTCTCCCAGATTAGAGTCCGTGCACTTAACCACTACACCAAACAGGGTTGTTGTACGCAGGCAACAAGTGGTAGGAGACCTAAGTTGTGAGTTAGCATTTCTGGGGAAGAAGAAGGGCTTGTGGAGGGTGGCGATGGGCTAGACCAGATGATATGGCCTACACGGATGGATGTTCATACTATTTTAGCAGAAATCAAAACACTTCGAGGCAACGTACTGTGCAAAACTCACAGAATATGTAATGTAAGGGGATGCTGGAACAAACCAGGATTGAGTACTTTAGCGAATGGCTTTTATTCTGCAATATTTCCAAGGTATATGGAAACGTCCAGCATACTTTCCTGAATACTTAGAAAAGTAAAGGCTGCTTAATCCCACACACGCAGTTTGTACATTGGCTTTTCTTTTCTGCTGTACTCTCCCTGATTTTTTTCCTGAGTCTGATTTAATGACAACGTAGCTCTCAATGAGGTAGTTAAGCTATGTCAGACCCCAGACGAGACTCAAACTCACAACTTCCTGGCACAATCCCAGCTGCTGCACCCCCATCAAAGGACAATATGTGACATCTGGCTCACATGACATCCATACAAATACGCTTCTTGCCCACAGAGTTAGGATGTCATAGAAAAGGCAAGTTTTCTATAGGAAGAGGCGTTTTGAGTATGGAACTATGTCCACTCATGTGAGCATTCCCTTCCCCTGGTCCCATGGTATATCTCAGAAAAAGGCCAGCCAACTCATCTCCTTGTGATTAATAAAACATTAAAGATGGCATTGATTAAAGATTAACTCATTTCCCATTTGTGAGAATTAAGCTGGTTAGGACGGAGGCAACAACTCACCATGCTTCACTCTCAGAACAATCTGGAGAAAATATAGAGCTTTAACGTGTGGTTCTGTTGTTGTTGTTTTTTGGGGGTGGGGTTTAATAGATTTCCAAGGAAGTAGAGAAGTGCTTTGATTTCAAAGTTGATTCCTGCACATAAGGGGGATTGAATAGCAGGTGTCTTTTAAGGGGAAGAGAGGGGAGGGATCAGGGTCAGTGTTCCCTCTAAGCTGAGTTAGTGTGAACTAGCTCACAGTTTTTTTAGCCTCCGGCTCACACATTTTTGTCTGAGCTCAGGGAGGATGGCTCCAGAGCTAACTAATTTATGCAGCAGACAAATCACTGGCTCAGAACTTTAATGCCAGCAACTCACAAAGGAGAACTTTTGCTCACAAGACTCCACAGCTTAGAGGGAACCTTGAGGGCTTGCTATTTCATCTTTGGTTTTAGCTGGGGATGTCTTAACGGCTATTGTACGCTGCTTTGAGCCACGCAGAAAGGCGAGAGATAAACGTTTTAATACAATAAGTAAATAAAGCAGTTTAGTGTGCAGAAATGGGTAGTTCAGGCTTACAGCAGTATGGCATGAAGGTGAATAACATCACCTAAGTAACCTCTCAGTAAACGGAGGGGACACTTTTCTCCAGGCTGCTAGATGGACATCTTTAAAATAAGTCAAGCTTTGTGACCATGGCAGTCCCTTGGCTACCCGGCAGGCCTGTAATGCTCCAGAATAAAATTAAAAAGAGAGAGGCCCCTATCCTAAAAGATCAAGGGAATCAGGAGAACTTGGCAATAGGGAGGCTGGGGGCAGATAGAGGGTTGCCAGATCCAGGTTGGGAAACTCCTGGAGATTTGGAGGTGGAGCCTGGAGAAGGCAGGGACCTCAGTGGAGTACAGTGCCAAAGAATCCACCCTCCAAAGCATCCATTTTTTCCACAGGAAACTGATCTCTGTAGTCTGGAGATGACCTGTAATTCCAGGGGATCCCCAGGTCCCTCCTGGAGGCTGGCATCCCTAGCCCTGGCGGAAAAGCTTGGTGTGTTCATCAGTTAGGCCTGGGAGGTAGAAATGGGGGGGTGACTAGGCCTACATGGAAATGCTTGCTTTTAATTTGTAATTTTCTATGATTTTTTAAAATTGTTTTAAAACAAAATGCATAGCAAAACATTAACCACCACCACAACTAAATGCCTGCTTTTGATGGACACCAGGCCTGCTGCCCCACCTGATATGGCTGCTCCTCTTCTTGCCCCTTGCCCTGGTTCACCAGGAAAGGAAAAGGAAGTGGAGCTGACATTTGGGCAGGAGGCCTCGAGACCCACAGCACCCCCTGCTGGCTGGAGGTAATACCACAAAGAGTTCCCTTAGGCCCACGGCCTGCATATTTGTCACTCACGACACTGGGGCGGCCAACTGTGGAGTAGGAAAGTGCTGGAGATTTGGGAGGCCAACAAACCCTACAGACCAACCTTGAGGCACCATTAACTCAAGGTTGCCACCCTCCAGGTAGGGCGTGGAGATCTCTTAGATCTATAGCTGACTACAGAGATCAGTTCCCCTGGAGAAAAGAGATGCTTTGGAAAGTGGACTCTACGGCACTATCATCTGATGAGGTTCCTCGTCTCCCCAAACCCCAAGGCTCCATCCATCCCCAAATCTCCAGGAATGTTCCATCTTATTCGCAACCCTATGTAGAATCCATCCATACATAAACCTTCAGAAAGTTGTGAAAGTTCAGACCACAGGCCAAGATCATTTACAAGTCTCCAA